AGGGGATGGATCTGCAGCCGCAAACACAAAGACAGTCGGGCGTTAAATCTAGCCTCGTTTTGGCAAACCATGCAACGATACTGGTATCAATCAGTATCGGCCACAACTGCCACTGTCTTGGAAAATATCTATGGCGTAGAGAGGGGTAACATGATGCATGGATAATATGTATGGCATAGAGAGTGGTAACATGATGCATAGATAATGTCGATGGTGTAGAGAGTGGTAAAATGATGCATGCAAAATATCGATTGCGTAGAGAGGGGTAACATGACGCAGAGATAATATCGATGGCGTAGAGAGAGGTAATATGATGCATAGACAATATCTATGGCGTAGTGAGGGGTAACATGATGCATGCACAATATCGATGGCTTAGAGAGTGGTAACATTATGCCTAGATAATATCGACGGCGTAGAGAGGGGTAACATGATGCTTGCAAAATATCGATGGCGTAGAGAGTGGTAACATAATGCATAGATAATATTGATGGCTTAGAGAGGGGTATCACGATGCATGCACAATATTAATGGCGTAGAGAGGGGTAACATGATGCATGGACAATATCGATGGCGTAGAGAGGGGTAACATGATGCATAGATAATACCTATGGCGTAGAGAGGGGTAACATGATGCATAGATAATATCGATGGCGTAGAGAGCGGTAACATGATACATAGATTATATCTATGGCATAGAGAGGTATAACATGATTCATGGACAACTGTCGACAAATTAAAAGAATCCTCACACTGCTTCTCGCCCATGACAAAAGCGCACTGGCTTCACTTTATTTGCGCTCGACTTGTAAAATCCGTATGAATAGCAAAATTATTAATAATAATATGAATTATATTATTAATAATATGTATTATTATATGATAATTATATTCACGAGTTGTTTAGTTGGTTTTGATATGCTGAATATTATTTTCATTTTACTATTTTAAATTTATTTTCATTTGTCTCTTAATATTTATGTTACAATTTCTTAGTCCAATGCTTTCGACTGGAGTCTTTTTTGTCCATTAATCTGCGTACTATTGTTAATACAAAATTAAAACGTAACTTCTGGTGAGATTCAAACTCGCATTCCATACATCGGTAGTTTCCATTTCATGTCCGACGTTTTTACCATTAGGTCAATCCAAACTGATGTAGTGTCGCCTAGCGAGACCACACCCGTAAAGCAAGCGTTATATATTATACGTATCATTATTATTTTGTACGCATATTAAATATTTTATACAAACTTCAGGTTACCGTCTCCTGTGTGTTATTTATTTTGTACTAGCTTAAAAGCCGCACTCCATGCGGGCTTTTCACTTAGCTTCTGTGGAGGACTAATTGGGTCTCCAGCCTAAACAGTTCACATTAGAAAACGCCAATGATAATTTTGAAGAAATAACTTTGAATTCTTCAATTCACTCCATGGAACTTCAAAACCTCACTTTACCTCTGATTCAGGCTATAAGTCCAATTCCAGCTAAAAGACCGATTTGAGCCGAAATTCTAATTCAAGCCGAAAACTGAGTTTTTGCAATCACAACCTCCCTGGAACTTCGATTAAGGTCAGCAAATCATAAACTCTGCGGAACTTCAAAACTTCACACCACGAAACCTCTAACTTTAACTCTGATTCCTTGGCATTTTGAAGAAATAAAATTGATTTCCTCAATTCACAAAATTTTGGAGATATTTTTAACTGAATTTAATTTTTTTTTTTTTTTAAATTCAGAAAAATTTTGTGTAATTTTAATCTCAGTACAAATTAAAACTTTAAAAATCACTAATTTTTTTTTTCAGTTATTTTAAAATTTGAATTATTAACTATTTCCTCCTCATCCAGACACAAATCCCAATGCTGGATTTTCTATCCCGGGATTATTTTGATCCTTAAAAGTAAATGTCTATATAGAGCAAGTGTGAACCGAGATAGAAGCGTTTCAGACACACGGACAGGCAGACAGAATTTACCGTTTATTTATTTATATAATAACAGCTTCTACGATTTTTGTGTCTTTCCTTGCATTAGGCGCTGCATAATCTTTCGCCATTATTTGATTGATTTGTTTTTTTACAGTTTTGTGAGTTATTATAAAGCTAAATTTTAAGAATTATTCTTTTTTACGGATATATATTGCATTACTCTTTTCTTTATAGAATAACAATGATCTTTTCATATACAAGTCATACTATTTAATCCGTAGATGGGGGGAAATTGATTCATACCTCTCTGTCCGGATGGTATTTACGCGTAAGCGAATATAACGAACCCGACTGGAATTGAAACTCGGTTCTACGATTTCCCATTCCGAGCCACTCACTTGTCTGGTATTATTTGAACTCCAGCGCTCAAAACAAAACGATGCCCAGATATAGCCAATGTGATGTTGCCAAGATGGTATACAAGTCTTACTAATTAACCCATAGCTGTGGGGAGAAGAGATGGATTCATACCTAATCAGAATTTGATAAGCAAACAAGAAATTATAATATGGATATAAAGTGGGGGTTCAATTCTATATTAAAATTAATATATAAAATGATCCCTCACATTGTGATTATGGTAGTTTCTGTACATTTATATTCCAAATAATATAAATAAATCAAAAAGACATGCCCCGGTAGCTAATCCGTATTCATTTGACAGATTCTTTTTCTACGGTTTATCAACCGTTTGCAGGTTATTTAAAATCAGAAAATATTTTAACATTGTAAGAAATGTTTTTATAATAATGATTTAGTTATAAAAGTCTTACTAATTAACCCATAAATGGGGAGAGAAGGTTATTTGCGCGTAAATGAATGTAATGAACTGTAGTAGGAATTCGGTTTTTCTATTAAAAATTCCGAGTCATTATCCATTATATCACCCGTACATCCATGTTTACAGAACCTGCTTTTCCCAAGTGGTTACCTATCTAGGTAGTGACCAGGCTAGACGTTGCTTAACTTCGGCAATCCTATGGGAACCGGTTTGTCGGATGTTAACTACGCGCATAATGCTTAAAAATGTTTTCAATTAAACTTTATCTAGAAACGTATTTTTCAGAAAAGAGCCCCGAACTGCTACATCTGTCCTCCTTTACGGCAATGAATGTTGGCCGGTCTCCTCAAAGATGAAGAAGAGACTCGAGGCAGCAGAGGTATGCTTCTACAGAAGGATGCTAAGGATATCATGGACTGAACATGTGAGAAACGATGTGGTTTTGGAAAGGATGCAAACAAGTAGGAAGCTTATACTTAACACCAGGAAGGGGCAGCTGTAATTTCTGAGACACGTAATGAGAAAGTAGGGCTTGGAAAATCTGATACTCACAAGTCGAATAGAAGTACATTTATATATTTTATATTCTATATTCTAAGCGTATTGGTTATTTAAGGTTAAAATATTTTTTTAAACGGAAAGAAAAAAACAGTTAATTTACTTTATTAGTTTTGATCTCCCATATTGTATAAAATGTTAGGAAGGTATTTTTTTTTAAAAAAACCGGATGTCGCGAGAGTATCTTCTACTGTTTGACCTATGAACTTGTTGGCAGCTGGAGTACACCTTACTGTGTTCAAATACGCTTCCATAACATCAGGAAGAGGAAGCATAATACGGGACACATAATGAGGAAGGAGGGTTTGGAGAATATGATACTCACGGGTCGTATAGAGGGAAAGAGACAAGGAAAGCAACACATGACATACCTTGCGGTATGAAAGTGGCTGACAGAACAGGGCCTGGGGGAAGTAGCAAAAGGACAAAACTTATTGAGAGCTACAAAAGATAGGAGGAAGTGGAGAGCCATGATCGCCTACGTCCTGAAGCGACACAGCATGTAAAAAAAATGAATTAACAGATGGTGATATATTAAATTTGATTCAACGCCATGAAATTAAAATCGTTTCATTTCCTTTGCTTAGGTGACCGGCTCGATTGAGTTGATATATAAGCTACGTTTGAGTCGATGGCAGTTTCGATATTAAGGTACATTCACGTGGGTGTTGAAAGTGACACAACCGATGGAGCAGCAGATTTCGCAAATAAGGCCGTATTTATCCTTACCGTCAGTGGTTTGAAGATATAGAGATCTGTGAGACCAGTCTATTTCACACGCTTGGATTCCTTTGTCAGTAAAGGCGCGGAAGTAGTGGCTGACCATGACGAACGAATAGAAATAGCTTTCCCAAATAAGCGATATCCAGTGAGCCGACAGCTTTCACGAAGACGCGAGATAGAGTCTTGCTTCATGCACGTAACTTTTCCGACAAAGATGCGTCTCCAACGTCTTGTTGATACGACTCCTAGGCGAAAAGAATTCCCAGAAGTGTGGAAAGAAAGCTTCAACGAACCAACATCTATGCTAGCTGACGAGTAGCTTTGAACACAGCCATTGTAACGCCCAATCTGAAATCACGATGGATTGGTGAATGATATGGCGCATAAAGGGAAAGAGGCGAGACGGAGCCTTGCTTCACGCACGTAGGTATTTCGATAAAGATGCGTCTCCAACGAATTGTTGATGCGACACCTAAAAAAAAAGAATTCCCAGGAGTATGAAAAGAAAGCTTCAAGAAACGACCTTCTATGATGAAAGATCTTGTAGTGGTGCTTTACGTCCAAACTTGACAGATGGCCAAGCATCCCGGAGCAAGTATCTGGGTCTAGAATCTTGACCGCGAGAATACCACACTGACATTCGGCTCTTCAACAAGTTCGTTAGACGTATGCAGATTCTCAGTGTAAATGAAATCAAGATCATTTTCGTTTCGTCTTCGCTTTAGTTAATCCACTTCGATTTTTCAGTCAACATATCACACCATTTTCGGCATGAATTTCTGAAAACAGTAGGCACGACTCTTAAAAAAAAGGATATTTTAATGGTAAGAATGTGTTGTTGGTTAATTGGCTGTTTAGAGGCATATCAACACCTCGAGGGGTTATTTAATGCCGAAATATAAATATTTTGTACGCATATCTTTATTTTATTTTTGGAGATAATAATGATACCTGGTATTTTCAAGCGGTATCCCATCTAGGTACTGTCTAAGCTCAACGTTGCTTAACTTCGGTAATCATACGAGAACCGATGCTTCAATGTGATGTAGTTGTAAAACTTATCAGCTTTTAACTTCTCATGATGTATATGTCCCCATGCCTATGTAAGAATATGTTAACTGGTAAGTAGGAAGATCGTGTTGCGCCAAGTTTAGAATTCGCTGCATAGACTACTTTCTTTTAATCTTCAGAAGTATTTTTGTTAAGAAATTTTATATTTTTAAAAACTAAAATATTTATTTTAATTTATTATTTTTGAAAAACAAGTAGGCCAATGGCGAAAATTACCTTTCCAATTTGAAAAAGAGGAAGCTTTAGAAAAATCGCTGGATATTAACGTATACTTTTATTGAATTTGTATTTCATATTCACGCCCAGCTTAACGGTAAATACCAGGGAAAACGAAATAAGTAAGCTGAATTCGACGTAGTTTGTTGGGTCCGACGGATGGGATATGACTCCAGTTTTTCTCTCTCCCCACCAGCTCTGGTGAAATAGCTGGGTAGACTAAGCTCTCTAGTCTTGGACGGTAACCAACGTGAGGGAAAAATAATCTCAATCCTGAATTCAAAACCATGAAAAACCACTATGACGCCGTATAAACAAAACTGCTCTCTATTAATCTCCACAGAAATCCTTCCCTGCCCCTCATTAGAATGGCTGACGTTCAACTTCTCGAGAGCATCTCTTTGCGACGGCTCGGTCTCACGTTGACTGCTGACCTGAAACAAATACATTGAATCAACTGCTTCGTCCACCGCAAGGAAAGTTGGCTCCCTGTGTCACGCCAGGAAATTTTTCTCCCCGGAATCGAGCCTTCAAATCTACAAATCAACCATTCGCCCTTGCATGGAATATTGCTGCCATATATGGTCTGGTGCTCCTTCTGTTTGTCTCAACGTTCTTGATAAAATCCAGAGACGGATATGCAATGTAATTGGCCCTGATCTGGCATCTCGTCTGCAGTCGCTCTCTCACAGACGTGCCGTCGCCTCTCTCTGTCTTTTTTACAAATACTTTCATGGTAATTACTCCGATGATCTGCTTTCGCTGGTTCCCAGACTTCATGAATTTAAGCGTTCTACTAGGCTGGCATCTCACTCACACCCTTTCACTGTTGAAACTGTTAAATTTAGCCGTTTCTTCTACTCCAATAGCTTCATGTCTCGCACCTCTCGCCTGTGGAACTCCCTCCCCTCTTCCTGTTTCCCTGATAGCTATAATCTCCATAATCTCCAACTATTCAAATATAATGTCAATCGACATCTCCTGTTGCCTTGATCTATCCCCTATCCTTCTCTTCATCCTTTCCTCTATCACTCCTATTTGCTCTCGCTCCAAATCCTTTGTAACCCCTTGTGTGCAAGTGGCTTCCCGCCTTGCTTGGGGTGAAATGCTTAAAAAAAAAAAAAAAAAAAAAAAAAAAAAAAACTATCTTACAAATTATGGCAATTAAAGAAAAAGAATCTGCGGAGACCCATGACCGCCTACATACATCATCAGGTAAAGGGTGGAGATTTCCACATATTATTAAAAATAATTAATTTTTTTCTTTCTTTTATGTTTTTTGATGTTAAATATTCTCGATATGAGAGATTCTCTATTTTTGTCTTAGTGAGACAGTTCAAGAAAAACATTTGGGTCACTAAGATGAAAAAAAAAGAGAATGTCTCATATCGAGAATATTTAACATTGAAATACATAAAAGAAAGAAAAAAATTAATTATTTTTAATAATATGTGGAAATCTCCACCCTTTGCCTGATGATGGTCGCGAGACCGGAAACCCGTGTAGCAAAATTATGGAAAATAAAGCATAATATTTTTTTTTTAAATCCACATTACAACCAAAAACGTTTGCGGTTTCTCTATTCTTTTTTATATATATATATATATATATATATATATATATATATATATATAGAGAGAGAGAGAGAGAGAGGAGAGAGAGACACACACACAAAAGGAAAACTTATCTTCGTTGACGCGTTTCGACCTCTGAGAGACTTTTATCAAGACAAATACAAGGATTTTGTTTTGTAAGTTTGCCTTGATAATATCCCACAGACGACGAAATGCGTGGACTAAGATAATTTTCCTTTCGTTTTTATCCATACTGTCCTTTTTACAGTATCTGAAATTTTTACACACACACACACACACACACACATATATATATATATATATATATATATATATATATATATATATATATATGTGTGTGTGTGTGTGTGTGTGTGTGTGTGTGTGTTTTGTGTATATGTGTGCCTGGCCAAGTGTTTGACACACTTAAACAGCTGTCGGGCGTTGTCAGGAATCTGTCGTTGGCCATATAATGCATTAAAAGCATATCGGGCGTTCTTGAACCTTAATTAATTATTGAACTTTTTAACTCTTAAAAAGGTTATCGGGCGTTGCCGGACATTAATTAGGTGTTATCGAAAGTTAATCAGTGACTTGTTCCTTGAATGTGCCATTGAAACACCATGGAATATTAGTTTTGCGCAATGTGTTCTATTGATAAAAATGGCAAACTATGTGAGGTGGTTTGAACACACAAAACGAGCAGTACGTTTGCGACAGTAGAGAATTCAGGTGCTCTGCGGGTAGACCGACTCTTTCCCTCCTAGACGCCCCAAGATGCCCTTGTTTCAGCAGGAAGACAAACCACCACATGGAGATAAGAGGTAGCGATCCAAACGCTGATTAGGAATATCAGACGCAAAATTATTTTCTTAAATATCTGCCCTCCGTTGTCGCGCTATAAGTTGCAACACGCGCTGAGGATGGGTGCACTATGATCTCAAATTAAGATACGAGGCCAGCTACATTATCTAGTTAAACGGACAGTTATTGGGACCTTGGGTCGCAATATGTGTAAACAAAATATACCCAAGCCACAACGGTAATTCTTCTGAGCAATTTTCATAGGAATTATTCAGATTGACTTTCCTCTATAGTTGCCTAAACTTTATTAATTCAAGCGCGGTACTAGATTGGCGCTAAGGTCTCATCATTTTACAGCTGAAATGGCTAGATATAACCGTAAGTTCTATGCTAACAGGTTCTTCTATTGCACTTTTTGTTTGTGGGACTCTCTTCCGGATGTATCTATACTTTTGAGTTATTTTTTTATGCCAAATCCAGAGCCTGCCATTCGAATATCTCAGCATAAATGTTGTAGCGTAGTTTTCACAGTGGAGGCTTGTATTTCAATGAGTCGTCTTAAATTAGGTTCGACGTAAAAAACGTTAGGAACTTGAAATAAGAGTTAATGACGCAGCAATCTAGTTGTGATGGTTGGTACTTCATTGTCCGATATCGACTGACTCGCTCAACACCACTGACCCCCAACTGGCGACCGCTACTACTACTACTACTACTACTTATTATGTGTGGGAGAGTCTATTAATAATAAAATAGGTACGTCCAGGTATGACAATAAATCAACACTCACGAGATGAGGCAGAGTTTTTCCAGTGTTCTCTTGTCCAATTTATGCGATCCAACATCGTGTGTTGTAACTTATAGCTGTTCTCAGTCAGTGTCGGGTGTTAATTAAGAACATTCGACTTATTAAGCATAAAATTTCATTGTATGGATTTAAAAAAAAAATGAATAGTAATTTAACTAGGGTTTTCACATATTTCTTAAGTAAATATGGTTAATATCGCAAGCGACAGGCTTTTACAACGTTCTTAACGTTTTTAAAGCCTGTCGCTTGCGATATTAACCATGTATCTATGACTTGTAATACCACAGGGCTTATGGTTATATCACGTTCAAACACCGGCTCTCGTATAATCACCGAAGTTAAGCAAATTTCATATTGGTCAGTACATAGATGAATGTCCGCTTGGGAATACCAGATGCTGTAATCTTGAATCTGCAGGTGGTGTAATGGTTAACAGCTTGGAATTGGAAATCGGAGAACCGAGTTCAAATCTAGATCAGTCCGTTATATTCAGTTATGCACTAATAACCTTGGAGAAGGTATGAATCCACCATTACTCATCTACCTATCTGTTAATTAAAAGGAGTTGTATCAGTAAATCATTATTATCTCTAAATATTATTACAATCTAAAAATATTTTCTAACTTTGAATAATCTGCAAAAGGTCGATAGCCCACAAAAAAATTAATCGTAGTGCCACGGAAATGCCATGGGATATTAGTTTTATAGAATGCGTTCGATCGATAAAAATGGCAAACCCTGTGGGGCGGTTTGAACCAAATGTCACACAAAACGAGCAGTACGGTTGCGACAGTAGAGAATTCAAGAGCTGGTAGACCGAGTCTTTCCCTCCAAGATGCCTCAAGATGTCCTTGTTTCAGCGGGGAGACAAACCACCACGTGAAGATAATAGGTAACAAGCCAACCTGTTGACAGCTGTCCTTTCGATTTTTCTCCGTGCCTCTATCTCTACCCACTCTCTTCCCCTCTCGCTCTCTCCATGTTCCTCGCTCTCTCCCTTCGCCTCCTCTCTCTTCCACTTCTCTCTCTATCTCTCCCCCTCTTTCTCTCTCTCGATTCCACCAAAAAATGATGCCGACTAGTATGACCTCCACCGCTGTAAAAATCGAGTAAAACAAAAATCTCCTGAGCCGACCAAGCCTAGAAATGAATACAATATGGGAACCAGTAATAAAGAGTGACAGAGAAAAGTAATAATAACAACATAAATTGCAATATGAGATCTGGTAAAAACATGAATTGATAACAGCAAAAATTGCAATATGAGCAAAAAAAAACCCAAAAAAACATGCAACTTATATAACCATTGTTACCAGAACAATGGTTATATAAGTTGCATGTTTTTTTTTTCTTTTTCGTTGCTTTTTTTTTAACAGAGCTTAAGGAATCAGCACATATGCTAGTCCACAAAAATCTCCTGAGCCGACCAAGCATAGAAATGAATACAATATGGCAACCAGTAATGAGTAGTGTCAGAGAAAAGTGATAATAACAACAACAAAAACTGCAATATGAGCTCTGGTAAAAAATGAAATGATAACAGCAAAAATTGCAATATGAAGACTG